GTGTGTGTTTTGTTTTTTTCAGTCCTTCAAATCTACTTTTCATTCCCCTGGCAGCTGAGGCTTCCAAGTCTGTTGTGTGGAGTCAGTGAGGTACATTAAGCTAATTCCCTTCCCTTGGGGTAGGAAGATTGGARCACTCACCTATACCCTGGCAAATGYCTTAGTGCTTTTGAAGTCTCTTGATTGCATCTACTCAATATGATCTCTCTAGGCATGATAATACGTCAAGGGCATAATCTTTCAAGTATTAACATTTAGGCAGATCTTCTCACTAATGCACTAATCCTGCTGCAAAGCTCAACAATCTTTAAATTTGTAAAATGTACCCTAAAGTCAGAACAAGATGGTTCATTTAAGATTGCCAACCCACAGCATTTAGATTCTAAGGTGACATGTAGTTCCTGTAATAGCCTTTTTATGCTTGCCCTTTTGTAATTAATTTATTAACACAGTGCTAAATTTGGAAATGTTGTGGTTTGGGGTATCTTTTTCAAGAAAGGCATGCAAAGCCACAATATCTCATGCACTAAAAATAGCCAYATGGGTGATTCTGTACAGAGGGAATTGTGCTGAGCTTAGCACCTGCCAGCTCTCAATTTAATACTTCAATTCTTTTGAGCCCTCTGCCTCTGTGCAGAAGTGAGAAATGTTCTTACTGAAATASCAGCTGGACAGRGTATTTMTCTKGTTKRGAAATCACTTGTGTGTATAATTTTYCCCATMCAGGCAGTAATTTTGAACATATAGCATTTATTATAATCCCCCCTGGAAATGCAGTGTGATTTGTTGCATATTTACATATTTACATGATACATGTTTATGGTGAGGTCGTGCTCTGTTGCAGGTGAGGTGGATTTATGGCATTTACAGTGCATCAGACATGTTGAACCATCTCTGCAAAGGTGTGTGGAGCARTGAAGCTGGTGTAACAAACTGAGAATTTTGCCTTCCTTGCAGCTGCCATATGGTTCTATGTTTTGGCATTAACACTTGTCAGTCTCTCAGGTAGATAAATGTGGTTGATCATTTTTTTCCCCCCCAATGCTTGCAGGACCTCGGATTCAGAAGTAGCAGAAATAAAGCAGAATTTTCTGTAGAAATACAGCAGCAATTTCTCCTGTACAAGAACAGTAAACTGAGCTAAGGTATTCAGCTCTGTTGCAGATTGTGATATGGTGACAAATTCTGCTCATCTGACATCATGCACCTTTACCTACTTGAGACAGGAATGGAGACAACAAAGTAAGTTATGGCACATTTCCACACTGCAGGTTACTTTCGCTTTCTGACAGGCAAAGCTCTTCCTCCCCTTTGTGGAGAGCTAAAAGAAATACAACTCTTCCTCTCTCTTATGCCTGGGGCTGCTCTTTAGGAATGACTGGACAAGGAAAACCTGCAGCCACCATCCATGMTGTCCCCTGCACCTGTGTGTTTAAAGACCATTTTTCCTCCAATTAATTGTTTAGCTATATCAGCATTTTTCTGCCTGGTGGAGGGGGGAAATGAAGTGCTGATTTCCCTGGGGTGGTGTGTGATAAATTAAGCCAAACTTCAGTGTTAAAGAAAGGGATTGTTYCAGACTTGTGTGGTGGAAAGGCAACAGGACCAACTGAACTTTGAAAATGCAATAGAAACGATATAAAGAAGTGTTGTAAGTAGTTGCCTTCAGCTAATGTTGGATGGAAGTAATTTTGTGCTTTGATATGAGTTGCATAAGTAGTAATGTTAAACTCTGGRGCCTTTGGCTAGGTGCCACTGTGTCTAAAAAACTGCATTTCATACCTCCCAAGGCTTTTCATGTAGGTAAGTGAGAAAATGGAGCTTTTGTTTAATTGTGGAGTCAGATCCTTTGCTGTTTGCATTAAACCACTTTTTAGTAMAGGGTTGTATCCATATTCTATTGAAGGAGACATATCCCTGGCCATCTCATCATCAATTTATTGTGCAGGACRCTGTCACCCTGATTCAGCACAAACACTGAGTCAGCAGGCAAGGTGGAAAATCTGTGGAAAGGATGCCTGCAGGGAGGAAAATCCTGGCAGGTTCTCGTGTCTTTGCTCCCCATAAAGCCTTCCTGCAGACCAAGGAGCTGTTTTTCCTCAGACCTGAGGTGRGGGAAGCAAAGAGAGAGAAGGAAGAGCTAACTGTGGTCCTGTTCTTGGTCTTTAATCCTTGCTCCAAGCTCTGTAGCATTATGGCCCCAAGGCAGATAAGAACAGAATAATTTGGCTTCTAGGCACACAGTGAAAGGTATTTGAGTTGCTGCTGTCTGCAACCTGTATTTTTGGTTTATCTATTTGGAGAAAAGAAAAAAAAAAAGTACCTTTTCCTGAAATGGAACCACTGGAATGAAAGGGAAGAGAAGGAAACAATTCACCACCTTACAGTAAAAAGATTAGTGACCAAATTCTACAAACATTCTACAAACCCCTCAGCCCATCAAACATAATTTTAAGACTTATGGGGGGTGAAAGGAGCCTTCACAGAAATATAACTCAGAAATCCAGTTATATAATCTCTGCTCTGGGAATCCAGAGCACCTTCAATTCATTCCAAGTCCTGGACTTGGTAGGCAAATTCACTACTGTWAATCTTACACAGGATTTTTGATAACATTTCAGCGGTAAATTTTTACTTTTAGCTCCAAGGACCATGAAGTTTTATTTGCTCTGTGTGAGTTTCTGTCTCTAATAATTTTAAAATCCGTTCATTGAATTCTTCACAGCCAGAGAATATATGGAGTCTTTGATTTGCAAACTGATGATGATTGGCTTGTTCAGCAACTCATGCCTTTKATAGCAATAAGATCCTTAAAACAGTGTGATTTACAGGAGCAAAGGRACAATGTACTGGAACTGCAGGTTTTAGAAACCCCAAACAATTTAGTGATAGATGAAATCATCACAAAAAGGTGATGCAGAATGAACTACAAAGGAAAAATCTCCATTCAGACAGTGAGGAGAAACCTCCAGCAATTGGGATAGTGAAGCACTAATACAGACAACTGAGGGTGGAGTGGAGTCTCCTCTGTGGCAGTACCACTAAATTGGCATCGATGAGGAATGTCTAGAAAAGGTCTCCGAGGGCTCTGCTAACCCTCTGGTCCCCTATCACAGACCTTGTCAGACTTCTGAGTAAAGGCTGAGACAAACAGAGAGTCAAATGGATAACAGGAATTTCTGTATTTCTGGTATTCATAAAAAATTATGCGTTTGCCTCGTCTTTTCTGAAATAAAGCCAAACCAGCTCTGCAGCAAGTAACAGATGCTTGTAGAAAGTGACATTTTGCAGTCAGTGCTTTATGTAATGCTCTGGTCCAATATGTTTATGCCTGTTTGACAGCTAACATCTTCAGGAGGCCTCAGCATCAACATCCAAACCCCAATCTAGTCTGATAAACAATTTTATTGTGTCAGCAGAGGGCGCATCCTCATTAACCAAGTGAGGGTCCTCCACCTCCCTTCCAGCTCCCACATTCTTGCCCTCTACGAGCCAGATTTTAAAGACAGGATGAAGTGAAAGCACTGATGAGTTGGACATCTGTTTCTGATATCATTTGGCATGCTCCAGGTTGCAGCACAATGCCCTGTTTGTTGTTTTGGTAGAGTTCACATATTTGCAGTGCAGGCCCAATTTCTTGTGACTGAGCACTAAAGTGCTTATTTTCCCAAATAAGAAAATAAGACAGAATTATCTGGATAATTCTGTCATCAAGGCTGGATGTATTTGATAGGMTGGAGTGTGTTGTAAGGCATTGCCTGTGCTGTCAGAGGCAGACTATAAATACACATKTGCTTCTGCATTTCCCTATCTCTCACTCTGTAAGAGGAAATGGGTTTGTCATTAGCATTCAGGGGGAACTTGTGAAATGACACAGCTGGGCTGTAAAAACACCATCCCACAGACTTTGCTGCCAGAGGAACTCRACAGCCAGCACTGACAGAGCAGAGAGCACGACTGCCCAGGCCATGGAGCGAGAACCCATGCGCATCAGGGAGGGCTACTTGGTTAAGAAGGTGAGTGGGTAGCTTTGGATTGAGTGGAAGAGGAAAATAAAGCTGGACAGATTGGGAAGATGTTCCCAAGATGTTGGGAAACATGGTGGGAAAGCTTGGAAAAAGAGGTGACAGGAAACAGCCACAGCCCACTGGATTGCAGTTGAGTTAAACATCAAGGAAGAATAGTGAGATTAAAGAGGTCACATCACCTTGGCTTCAAGATAATGTGTGGGGCCATGGGCATGTCCCTTCTTTAGGAAGGCAGCAACCTTCTGGAGTCTTTTGTGGTACAGCCTTTACTTTTATTTAAATCTGCAGTGGCTTCCACTGGCAGAGCATGTCAGAGTCCAGTTTTCAGGAAGTACTGGACTTGTCTGTTTATAAGCAGAAATATTGTGATCTGTGGTAAACCCACGAACAAATTCCAACAGTTCTTATTTTAATTGATTTCTTAGCAGAAAGAAAAGATAAAAAAACCCCAGTGGGTCAATCCAGTGTTTCAAAAAATGGGAAATTCTTACGGCTCATTAAAAAAAAAACAAAAACACCAACATACCAGCAGTCAACCCACATGTGGTACCCACATGAGACTCCTTTTGTAGTTTCCTCCTCTGAGTTTCCAGAATAGTGACTTTCCTTTGGAAGGTAGCTTTACTTTGTGGGGCACCYTCTGCTTCCAGGGAAGGCTGCAGAGGCTGGAAGAAGGTCCTGGTCCTGCACTTAATAAGTTCTTGGCTGATGGTTTTTCCTCACCACCCTCTAATTGAACATAAGGTCTGATTCAGGGTGCAAAAAGGCTTTTCTTGGAAGATAGGGCAGCAAACAAGGATGTGGCTGACAATGGGTTCTTTTGCAGAATAAATAAAAAAGGATTTGGCATGTTTCTGTCCTATTCACTTCTGTAAAAATACAAAATGCAGATGTAAATAACTGTCCAGTGCTCAGGTTTAACAAGCCACAAGCCATTTGCACAGCACAACAGTGGCTGCTTCACTTGTGCCTGTAGCTTTAGCACTGATCAAACACCATGGTATGAGGAGAASAGGCATGCTGTGAATGGAGTTATGAAAGGGGGAGGATAAATTTAGTTCTCTCTTTGTAACAGAAAGAGCAAAAGAAGCTTATATTTTTGAGGAATGGCCTTTGACAAACACCTATGCTGTTTGTGCTTTGGCAGCTCTTCAAGGGAACTGTTGATATTCAGCATATCTAAAAGTTCATTTGGCTGAGCACTAAGTCACTTGCCTATCTGGGATTGTGACTGCTGTTGAAACTGGTTGTAGGAAGGACCAGAGAGGTGACATAGCTGGAGTGCAACAGTAGTTCTAGGAGTTAATTGTGCTCAAAACAGAGAAATGGGTTGTTCCTCAGAGTCTCTGGGAGGATTGCTCTGTGTTACAATATGTGGGGTCTGTCCCTGTCTTTATTTCTTGTGTCTAACAGCTGTGTTTCAGGAAGAGGAAGCACAAGCTTAAAATGATGAAATTAAGCTCTTCAATTCCTCACAACAGTTGGAGGTCTGCAGCCTCAGCTCCTTACACTATTTATTACTCTTACAGTTTGTTCT